TGGGCCGTCATGGGGCCATCTTGGAGGCCTCTTGGGCGATTTTTCGGCAATCTTCGGGGGCTCTTGGGCCGTCTCAGGCCGTCGGAAGGCCGAAAAGAAGCAAATGTCAAAATCCTTAAAACACCGAAGACATATAATTTTTTGGCCTTTCTTCTGGCCTTCCTGGAGGCCCTCTTGGAAGCCTGTTGGGCCGTCTTGGGCCAGCTTTCTTTGTGGGTTCCTGGCACGTCTGACGCCGTCGGGAGCCGTCTTGGGGGGCCTCTCTGGGCCGACTTGGGGCCCTCTTGGGGCGCTTCGGGGCCGTTTTGGAGGCCATCTTGGGCGTCTTGGAGGCCTCTTGGGCCGCCTTGGGGCCGTCTTGGGGCCGTCTTGGGTGCCTCTTGGGCCGTTCTGGGGCCATCTTGGAGGCCTCTTGGGCGATCTTGGGACGATCTTTGAGGGCTCTTGGGCCGTCTTGGGCCGTCGGAAAGCCGGAAAGGCGGAAATGCCAAAATCTCTGTAAAACCTAAGGGATATTAATGATTTTCGCCTCTTCGGGCCTTCCTTGAGGGCCTCTTGGGGGCCTCTTGGCCCGTCTTGGAGGCCTCTTCGGGGCCTCTTGGGCCGTCTTGGGCCAGCTTGAGGCCATCTTAGGCCGCCTTGGGTGCTTCTGGGGCCGTCCAGGAGGCATTTTGGGTCCATCGTAGCCGTCTTGGAGGCCATCTTGGCCGTCTTGGAAGCATTTTGGAAGCCATCTTGGAGCATTCTGGGGCAGGAATACCCACGGCTGCCACCTCCGGAAGAGCTTCCCAGGACCTCGGCGGGACGCGCCGAAGGCCCATGGGGAGTTCTTTTGGAAAAAAGAACCAAAACCGAGAGGGTTTAGCACGCCAGGCACCCCTGTGATGAATCAACAGGGGGCGGCGGATATCGGATGGCCTTCGGCCCATCCCGCCACCGTGCCTGGGCTGTGGGCTACAAGCTTCTAGGCAGGTCACAGGCCTCTAGGAAGCTCGTTGGGATGTCGCGGGAGGCCTATCGGAGGCCTCTTGGGGGCAATTTTCAAGCTTTTTGGGGCCGTTTGGGGGTTTCTTGGGGCGTCTTCGGGGCCTCTTGGGGATGTTTCGGGTCCTCTTGAGCCTCCTTGGGGCCTCCTTGGAGCCTCGTTGGGGCCTCCTGGGGCGGAAGACTTGGATTTTCGGTTCGTGTTCCCCTTCTGTGCCGTCTTGGGCGCCTCTGGGGCTGTCTTGGGGCCTTCTTGGGCCGTGTTGTGGCCCTCCTGGGGGCTTTTCGAGCCTTTTTGGGGCGATCCTGGGGGCCTCCTGGGCCATCTTCCTGCATCGCTCGGACGTGTGCGTGTTTTCTCGGCGAGAGCCATCGAGGACCATCCTGGACCATCGAGCAAAAAAAGCACGCACGAAACCGAAACATGCACGGGAAATGGACGTCCGAGAGACGGCAAGCCTTGGAGCATCGGGAGCTTGAAAAGTCGAGGATCGCAAAATCGTTGAAAAACGTGTGGTAGAACAGTGACGTTGGCCTCTCGGGGCCCTCTTGGGCAGTCTTGGGTTTTTTGTTAGGGCGTCCCGGAGGCCTTTTGGGCCGCCTTGGGGCCATCTTTGGCGTCTTGGAGCTTGGTTTTCTTTGGATTCGGGCAAGTTTACTTGCATGGACGGGGGGGGGGTCTGAGTCTGAAGCACGACGAAAACAATTCGACGTGCGGAAATCACGAAAGTCGAAAGGCACTTGCACGCTCGTGTTCGATTGAAGAGGGGCGAGGGGGGGTGGGGTGGGCGAGCGCCATGCAAGTAAGCTTGCCTGGATACAAAGAAAAACGGGCTCTTGGTGCGATCTTGGGGCGTCTTGGGGCCCTCGTGGACCATCTTGGGGGCCGCTCGGAGCCCTCGTGGCCGGTCTTGGGGCCCTCTGGGCTCCGAAACAGGCACCGCGAGGAGCCACGCCGCGGCCCGGCCGGGGCACGCGGGAAGCCCCGGGAGGTCTTACAACTTGGGCCCCGAGGTCCTCGCGAGCAGGGGCGGCCTCTCCTCCTCCTCCTCCTCCTCCTCCTCCTCCTCCTCCTCCTCCTCCATTTCCACCGTTTTTTTCCTTTTCCTCCTCCTCCTCCTCCTCCTCCTCCTCCTCCTCCTCTGCCCCCCTCCTCTGCCTCCCTCCTCCTCCTCCTCCTTCTCCTCCTCTTCCTGCTCCTCCTCCTCCTCCTTAATCCTGGCGGAGCGTGGCTCGATGTGGGAGGCGATGTTAGCCCGACCGTTATCAGCTACAGTGCCGTGATCAGCAGGTGCGAGAACTCAGGCATTGCGGGCAGTGGCAGCTACCCGTAATGGAGCAAAGCTCAATAGCAGCGGTCCGTCGGCACGCCCTCTCCTGCAGTGCCGCAATGGACCGGCTGAGTTTGTGCTTGGGCCAAGGCTCGTTTTTCATTCGCAGGACGTCTGCACAGTGTCTACGTTCTCTCGTTTATTTTTGTGTGTATATTCCCCGAGGTGCTGGTTTGGGTGCAAGAGGGAAGAAGCAACACTTCGGTAGTTGTCTTACGAGGCTGTGTGTGGAGGAGGCGATCTCGATGACATACGTGAAAGGTTGCTCGATTATCTGTGACACAGTAGAGCCGTATCGAGCCGATTTCATTTCAGCCAAGTTTGCTTCAGTATCCTGGTGGGGTGAGGAATCCATCTGGGGCTTGGTCGTCTTTGTTCGTCAACCTCAGGCTCTTTTAGCTCCCAGTCCTACTACTTCGGGCCTCCCTGGTTAAGTTCGCCATGATGCACTTCCTTGTTGTCGTGCCGCTCGGGGTGCTCAGGGGAGGGCCGTTCTTCGTCGCCTTCCAGTTCGTCGGGTATTTCGACAAGCTCAGGGGGTGGCATCTAGTGAATATCGCACCGCGATAGAGCCCATTCCCATTCCATTAACTCCTCCTCCTCCTCCTCCGCCTAACCGACCCCTAGCAAGCCATCCCCTTCCGTGGCGTCCCCCTCGCCTCGCCCCAAGACGCATGTATGCGGCCGGAGGGGAGCTCGAAAGGAGAGGAGGACGTCACGGAAGGGCCAGCATGGTTTGCTAGGGGTCGGTTCGGCCGCGCCCGATTTAAGAGTTCCCAGGAGAGGGGATTGATCGAAAACCGGAACGTATACATGACCAGTGGCGGGCCGTTTCTCAATCCTACGACTTTTCGAGGGTCGGGGACGACGTCGGGGTGGACTGGTGTATACTTGTTTCCCCGTTTTCCCGGGGAAACAGCGAAAAATGTATACACCAGGATCCCGTGTACACCATGATCCGTTTTCTTGTGCGAATTTCAATGCGGGGCCAGAAAAAGCATAGAGTTCGGCTCCTTAATTGGGGCTCAGAGGATTGGGCGAAGGACCCGAGGGCACGCTCACTCCGTGCCCAGAGGCACGGTGGCGGATACAGACGGATTGATGGACAGGCACATTGATGAACAGGTAGATTGATGGACAGATAGATACGTTATTTCCGTATTGGTCCCGACAGTTGACCCGATGGTTGCCCCGATGGATGGTACGGTCGACAGATATAGTGGTAATGTGATCAGCACTCAACTATTGGAACCGACAGATGGTGAGGCAGCAGATGAGGGATATATGATCCAATGTTGCCTCCCCTTCCCCCCAATGCAGATGGGATCGACTTCCCCCACTACCGCTGGATGGGTACGCCCGTGAGCCTCGCGAAGGCCTCGCGCATGGGATCGCTCCCTCCCCTTGTTGTCGTGGCTGTGTGAGCGTGACGTGATGGAGGGTGCCGGCGCACCCCCCTCCTTCCTTCTGCGGATGCGGGGTGGTTTGTCGTCGTCGTTGTCGTCGTCTTCGTCGTCGTCGTCGTCGTCGTCCGTCGGCATCGTCGTCCTCGTCGTCGTCTTCGTCGTCGTCGTCGTCCGTCGGCATCGTCAGCGTCGGCGTCTGCGTCGTCGTCCCAACTGGGGGGGGGGCCTGGGGAGCCTTGGGGCCCATGCCCTTCCGGGGGAAGGGGGCTGTGGGCCCTCGATCCGGGGTCATACGTGAGCAGTTTGCGCCGCGAGGCAGCTGCACACATGGATCGAGAGAGATGGAGAGGCGGCGCGATATGATGGCTCTGTAGGGTTTCTCTTTTTCCCCCTCCCCCCGGACTGGATGTCCCCCTTTCCCATTGTGTTCCCGTGGCTGTCCCGCGGCTGGCCCGTGGTTGTCCCGAGGTGATCCCGTGGTCCGCCCGAGGTTGTCCTGTGGTCGGCCGGAGGTGGTCCAGTGGTCGTCCCGCGGTCGGTTCGTGGCTGTTTTGGCATTCGCTCCGTGGCATTTGGGCTCAGAGCTTGGCGCGAGCATTGTCGAGAGGGCCCGCGCTGTTCGCGCCACCCGCGCGCGTGGAAGCTCCGCGAGCTGCCTGTCTGGGCCGCCCGGCCCTACAGTCGGGGCCCTGAGGAAGGAACCCTTTTCGTTGGGGAGGGGCTCCGCGTTCCTTATGTGTTTCGCAGCTTGCCTGAGGTTTTCCTTCTGTTTTCGTTCGGAAATCGAAGTTTCACTTATGGAAAAAAGGGGCCTCGTTCCTTATTTTGGGTTCCTTAGGTCAAGGCCCCGACTGTACAGATCCCCATGACCAACCTGGGCCGTCTGGAGCCGCCTCCTCCGGCGCCCTGCCCGGTCCCTCCTCCCGCTCCCCCCTTCTCGCGGCAGCAGTCCCCCGAGGCAGGTGTGGGGCCGTGCACGTCGCCATTCTCGCGGCAGCAGTCCCCTGAGACAGGTGTGGGGCTGTGCACGTCGCTGATCGACACGCGAGGCGCCAACAGCTCCCCATACGCCACGCCGAACAGGGTGCAGCTGGACCAGCTCAAGAGCGCGGCCGCGTCCAGCAGCCGGAGCCCCGAGAGGGACCTCGACCTGGCGGTGGACGACGTGGACGCGCACGACCACGGGGGCGAGAGGCCGCTCTCCGCAGCCTCCGCCGCGGCGTCTGGCCTCATAAACTTCATGCTGATGTTCGGTCTCTGCTGTGCGTACGGTCTGATCATGTCGGGCCGGGCGAAAGGGGGGGCTTGGGAAAGGGGGGTTACGAAATTTGCTGCATGCAGCTGGTTTCGGCCTCACCGAGGGGCCCATTCCTCGATACACAGCCGCCTCCGGCGCCGGGAGGCGCTGGGAAAATCAGCTGCGTGAGCTGATTCTCAAACCCCCCCTTTGCTATCCCCCCCTTTCGCCCGACCCGATCATGTTCGATGGCGAGACAGCGATGATGCACCAAGCGCTAGGCGTGAAGATGAATCTCTGCACCGCTGCCTTGGTCGGCCTTCTGGTGGCAGTGTTTTCCCGGATACCGGTGGCCATCGCAGGCCCAGACCTGAACCCCGTGGTTTTCCTCGGATACTTCGTGAAGGCCATGTCGAGCGAGATCGGCGAGTCCTTGGGCATGAGTTACCCTGGCGTGGATTCCGCCTGTGGGCGCAGACTGGAGGAGGACGCGTCCGACTTTGCTCGGGCGCTGGCCGGCGGCTCCTCGTCGTGCACCTCGGGCAAGCCAACCTTCTGCGGCGGTCACGACGGCAATACCGCCGAGCAGTGCGACGCGTATCAACAGCAGCTTGCGACCACCACCATATTCGCTGTGGCAGTCTCTTCCAGCCTGCTCGGGCTCGCGTTTTTCCTCATCGGGCGCTTCAAGCTAGCGCGCTACGCTAGCTTCGTGCCGACGGCGATTTCGGAGGCGTTCCTGTCCTGTGTCGGGTATAAGGTGTTTCTCTATGCGCTAAAGTACAGCAACAACGACCCGACACAGTTCATCCCCGCGGCATTTCTTGGTGTGCTGCTATTTTTCGTGAAGGCTCGTCACTGGGGCAACCCGGCCATAGTGATCCCGTTAATGCTCGTGGTGCCTCTTGGGTTGTTTCACATGTGCGTGTATTTCGGAGTGATCTTCGATGGCCTCAGCGATGCCCGTGAGCAGCAGTGGATGTTCCCACGGATGGATAACGTCGGTTCAAGATGCTTACGCCGTTCCGCCGGCCCCCAGAAGAGAACATGTGTGGCTTTCGCTTTCGTGCTTCTCGTTGCCTGCGTGTAGTTTTGGCCGACTCGTCCCCACTGTCATGCGTCTCTGCTGCGGGGCTCCTTGGGGGCCTACATCTGGGGCGAGCTTGCCCAGTGCTCCCGGGAGCTTTGGGGGATATCCTGGGGGCCTCTTGAGGCCACGCTTCAGGAGGGGAAAAAACACACAGACACAATTCATCGTCGATTTTCCAAAAGATATGGGAGACTATGGGAAGTGTGGGGGAGAAGGCGAAAACTCAGAAATTATAGGAACATATGGGGAATCGTTTTATTTGTGTGTATTTATTCGTGTGTCCCAGGGCCCCTTCAACGTTGGAGGTCTGGGGGCCATCCTGTGGGGCGGAGCTCCCGGGGTGAAGGGCTCCCCCCTTCCTGGGCCTCTCCTGCGCCCGTCGTGGGCTTCTTGGGGCCTCTTGAGGGCTGTTTGCCGCTCTGGGGGCCTCTCCTCCCCCCCTCCTCCTCCTCCTCCTCCTCCTCCTCCTCCTCCTCCTCCTCCTCCTCCTCCTCCTCCTCCTCCTCCTCCTCCTCTTCCTCCTCCTGCTCGGCCCACACCGTCGGATGTCTGGATCTCTCCCTCGCGGCCTGTTGAGGGCTTTTTGCCGTCTTGGGGGCCATCTCGGGCCATCTCCGGGCCCCACGGCGGGCCTCTTGGGCCAGTCTGGGGGGCTTCTCGCGTCGTTTTGGCCTTGCAGGTTGCAGACCCGTTGAAAGGCGAGAGCACGGAAACCGTTCATACACTTGCGCAGAGTCCATGTGCCTTCTCTCTTGAGGCCATTCCGGGGGTTCTCTTGGGCCCTTGTTCCGCGGCTTTGGCTATCTTGGGTATTCTTGGGGCCTCTCTGGCGTGGTGGAGCCCATCTGAAGCCATCCTGAAGAGCATCTTAGTTTGGCATCTTGGCGGAGACAGAGTTGATTTTGAGGCTCCGAGGGCCCCGGAGGTGCGTTGCGGGGCTCGCCCCCCTGCCCCCTAGTGGGATTTTGGGCCCCAGGGGAAGGGGGAAGGGGAAGAGGGAGGGGCGACAGCCAATCATCTCACACGTCTTCTCACTTCTGGCAAGCGGGGGTTGGCAGAGTTTTGGCTCATGTGGGCCGAAGGTATTTACGATGGCAACGATGTCAAGCTGCAGTACATCAATTGGAAGGCATGGGCCTCGACTGTCCCCGATCTCCTGACAATGCTGGTCGTTGTGTTGATGGACTCAATGCTCAAGGTCAAGAACACCGAGAACAAGATGCCCATCGTGCCGCAAGCAGACTACGAGGTGCAGCTCTTTGGAGGCTGCAACGCCCTGATGGCCGCCTGCGGCGCCCCAGTGGGCTACATGCAGCTCAAGTTCAATGTGATCAACTTTGGCATCATAGGGAATACCAAGGACCGCCGCTCTGGAGTCGTGTATGCCGTGCTGTGCGCCGTTACCTTCTTCTGGACCATCGAGCCGTTCAACTACATGCCGCGTTGGTTCCTGAGCACGCTGCTGTTCTTTGCTGGCGCCGGCTTCGTGGCGGAAAATTTATGGGGATCCCGAAAGTTCTTGTCCCACGCCGAGTGGCTCGAGATCCTGTTCATCGTAGTTGTCTTCATCGCCACCGACGCGCTTATCTACGCTGTCGTTGCTGGCTGCTTCATCACAGCCGTATCATTCATATCAAAGTACGCGAGGGTGCCGTGCATCGCAGGACCGCCCGCTAGCGGAGGCGAGATCGTATCGTACGAGCGCAGAGGTCCCCTTGTGCAGCGTGCAATACAGCACATTGCAGACAGCTGGTTCATGGTGGTTCGCCTGAAGGGCTTCGTCTTCTTCGCCTCGGCCAAATCAGTTGTTGCCGAGGTGATGGCCAGGCTCGACACGCATAGAGAGTTCATCGCCACCATCGACCGCACCTCTGGTGCGAGCTTGATGTTGGCCAACGCCGACGGCGCGCTCGTCGTTGAGGACGCCGATCAGCCCAGCGTCGTGGAGTGGAACAGGAAAAACCTTCAGGCTCAGATCCTGCCTGGTGACCGCGTCGAGGAGGTGAACGGCCTGTCGGGGGATGCTCCGGCGATGCTGGAACAGTGCGAGACAGCCTCCCTGTTGCGCATCAGGGTTTGCCGGCCCGCTCTGCCTGGCTACAGGCGCATGCGCTGGGTCGTGTTCGACTGCGAGAGACTCGACGGAATGGACGCCTCCGCTTCTGCAGTGTTCCGGAAGCTCGTTGTGGACGCGCAATCATTGGGCGCCACATGCCTTTGGACGAAGGTGGGCGACGCCACGAAGTCCGCGCTGGGTTTCCGAGGAATCTTGGCAGACCATAAGAACCTGTTCAGTGGGCTGGACCATGCGGTGCACTACATAGAGAAGTGCATCTTGCAGTACCGCCAGGAGCAGCTCGACACATGGCTGCGCGTGCATCCGGGCCTGGCTCTCAGCTACGAACACACCTGCACGCTGGACAGCTTCGAACCTTTCCGCCAAGTCTTCGAGACCGATGCAGAGCGCGAGGGTTTCCCATGGAGGTATTGTAGCAAAATCTCGATTGAGCGCTTTAAGACAGTGCTCTGGGAGCCTGGCATCGAAGACGCGTGCCTCTTCTTAGTTCACTCTGGCAAGGTCGCCGTCTACCGCGATCTTCCGGACGGGAACGAGGGCATCAGTGGCGATCCTGTGATGCCCACGGCGGTGTACGGGCACGGGTGGTTCCTGAACCGCGAGTTCTTGACGCACGCCCCGCCGCGCATGCACGCGGTCGCCATCGAGGACGGCGAGGCGTTGTGTTGGTCCCAGGCTGAGTGGGTCAAGATGTCCCGCGAGAGGCCGCTGATGGCCGCTGCGATCGTGAAGGCGGCCATGCGGCAGCAGAGCCGCGACCTCGACTACTCCTCGCACGCCGCCAGCTTCGTGCTCGCGGACGGGCGGCTCGCGCCCCCGGCCGTGGACGGCGCCGCCCTGGGGACGCAGTCGATAAGGTCCCGGCATTGCCGAAGTCAATCGGGAGGAGAAAAGGCACACAGACACAAATAATCGCCGGCTCCCACGAAAATATGCGCAAATATGGGAAGTGGGCGGAAGACGAAAATCTAGCAAATCTAAAACAAATGCGAGGCATCCTGAAATTTGTGTGTATTTCTTTGAGTGGCCCTTGGCCCCTCCAGTCAAGGGGGCAAGACCACCCCGACCCCCCATACCTGGCGAATGCTGAACGGCCCTGGGCGCTCACCAAGCAGCCCTGCCCAGTGCGATTGCTCCCTTGGGGTGCGCCTACGAAACGGCTTATACCAGGGGGCCACATGCGAACCCTAACCCTACCCCCCACGATTTCTGAGGGGGGGGTGGGGTTCACTTCGTTCGGGAGCTCCCGAGCCAAGTGAACCCCACCCTCCCCCTCAGAACTCGTGGGGGGTAGGGGTAGGGTCCGCACGTGGCCCCCTATTACACATCACGAGGGGCCAGGTCCGAGTGCCCTCCGGCCGGCACCCCGACTGCACACGTGTGGACCGGGCTGCCCGGGGCCTCGCTGGCGCACTGGGGGCCCTCTGAGCTCGCCCCGAGACTGTCCCAGCTCGCTTGGAAATGCGCTTCGGGACCACCAAGGCGGCCCACGACAGCCTTAGATTGGCCAGAATTGGTCCCAGATTGTCCAAGAGGCTTCCTGGACTCCCCAAAAAGCCTCCACGAAGCCCCCAAAGAGCTTCCGCGAGGCCTCCCAAGAGGCCTCATTCATTCAGTTATCGAGGGTTTGGGGGGGATTTGGGTTCTCTCGCCTTTTCAGCTTCCCAACGCTCCAAGGCGGACTTTGGCAAGTGACCCGAGAGGCCAAAATTTATTTATCCTATTCCATAGATTTTGGATTGTTTCGTTCAAGCCGCTTCGGGCTTGCAACGCTCCAAGACGGCTCAAGAGGCGCCCAAGACCGACCCGAGAAAGCCCAAGAGGCCCCCAAGAAACCCGCAAGACGGCGTTGGAGGCCTCCTTGTGAGCTTCAAGATGACTCGAGAGGGCCCCAGGACGTCCCAAGAGGCCCCCCAAAACGGCCCAAGAGGGGCCCAAGAGGGGGAACACGAACCCACAATTCCAGCCTTCCGCCCCCACGCTCCCCCAGGAGGCCCCAAGAGACCCCGAAAAGGCGCCACGAGGTCCGCAAGAAGCCCCCAAGAAGCCCCACAGCAGCCCCCAGGAGGCTTCCAACGAGGTACCAGCAAGCACCACAGATCCCTCTGACACACAGCCTCGGCACATTGGCAGGATTGTCCGAAAACGTACGATTGTGTATATATACATGTGTGTAAATACTTGTAAATACTTATACCGGTATTTATACATACATCCATACATACATATTTGTATAGGTACGCTGCCCCCTCTTCCTCTTCTTCTCTTCTTCCCGGCTCCTTCCCCCGCCTTTCTTTTGCCATGGCGAATGTATTGTTTGGCCGACGAGGCCAATACGGGTCCGTCCAACAACAGTTTGACAGGCCAGGGGATGATACGTTTTAGGGCTAATTCGTATCCTTCGGCATCTGGTTTCACTTGTCTCCTCCTCCCCTTTTTTTTGTTCCCCCCCGCACCTCCAAAGAAGGGGTCGGTCAGTTCTCTGTCCCCGCCGCGTGGCCGATACCACTGGCCCCAGGGGGGGGGACATGTTGTTAACCTCTACGTCTCTTGAGACACTCCATGGTAGCCTTGCTGAATAAAGGACGCCAGGATGCCTGACTGTATGCCAGCCGCTCGTACATGGCATGCACCACTTGGCGCCGTCCATGTTTCGCTCATGTAAGCCTTGCTTGCAAGCGCACGGCTGAACATATGTATATTGAGACACTTGACAGCAGCCGTGCCGAGGAACAAACAAACATACATACATACATACATGCATACATGCATACATGCACACATACATATATAAATATGTATATATATATATATCTGTGTGCACGCGCACACACTATACACAAGGCGTGTATATGCAGTACGCACTGATATAGTTGTACGTGCGCATGCATGCATGCATGCATGTATGTATGTTTGTATGCATGCATGTGTATGTGTGGGTGTGTATGGTTGTGTGTATGTATGTCTGCATGCATGGATGTGAGTGTGTCTGCATGTATGGCTGTATGCATGTATGCGTTTGTATGCATCTGTGTATGTGTGTGTGCGCTTGGCTTAGTCTATGTCTAGGATAATGCTTGTATGTATGCATGTATGTACGCAGATATATACGTGAATGTATGCATGCTTGTATGGATGCGTGTATGTATGCATGTGTATGTAGGTATGTCGGTATGTGTGTGCGTGCGTGTGCATATGTGCATATATGTGTGTACGAATGGATGCATGTATGAATGTATATATGTGCTCATGCGTGTATGTTCAGAGTGAGGGGGCCGAACGGTCATTCACTGTCCCTGGGTGCGTGGCTGATGTGGAATTCCGAGGTGCGGATTCTTGTTGTTGTTGTTGTTGTTGTTGTTGTTTGTTGTTGTTGTTTGTTGTCGTCGTCCGACCCGCAACCCGCCCCGCGACCCACCCGCGACCCACCCCGCGACCCACCCCGCGACCCACCCGCGACCCACCCGCGACCCACCCGCGACCCACCCCGCGACCCACCCCGCGACCCACCCCGCGACCCACCCCGCGACCCACCCCGCGACCCACCCCGCGACCCCCCGCGACCCACCCCGCGACCCACCCGCGACCCACCCGCGACCCACCCGCGACCCACCCGCGACCTACCCCGCGACCCACCCGCGACCCACCTTCGACCCAAACCACGTTCAAGGTACAAACCACAATTTTCGGCGCCTGCGGCGGGCTTTTTTGCATTCCTTCCAAGTGGAGAGCCCGCGACACATCCCGTGACCAACTCGCGACCAACCCGCGACCCAAACCACGTTCAGGGTACAAACCACATTTTTCGGCGCCTGCGGCGGGCATATTTTGCATTCGTTTCAGGTGGAGAGCCCGCGGCCCACCCGCGACCACGTTCAGGGTACAAACCACATTTTCGGCGCCTGCGGCGGGCATCCTTTGCATTCGTTCCGTGTAGAGAACCCGCGGCCCACCCGCGACCCAAACCTCGTTCCGTGTACGAACCAATTTTTTTGGCGCTTGCGGCGGGCTGCTTTTGCATTCCTTCCAGGTGGAGGTGGAGAGCCCGCGACCCACCCGCGACCTAAACCACGTTCACTGAACAAACCAATGCCGCACAAGCGCGGCGGCGGATTCTTGCATGCCGTCTGAGCCCGCAAGGACCTCTTCACGCCCCGCACATCCACGCCAGCCCGTCCAGCAACTTTGCCCTGGCGAGTTGCCTTGATCAGAGAAGGCGGGGAGCATAAAGTGGAAAAAAGATTGCGTTGCAGTTATCTTGGGAAAGGAGGGGGAGGCAGGATGAGTAAACAGGGGACGAGGAGAACGTGGAAGAAGAGAGGATGTAAGGAGAACGTGGAAAAAGAAAAGGAGGAGGAGCAGGAGGACGAGGGGGAGGAGGGGGAGGAGGGGGAGGAGGAGGACGAGGAGGGGGAGGATGGGGAGGAGGATGATGATGGACGACAATGGGAGGACGATGATGGAGGCCGATGAGGGGGAGGACGACAATGGGAGGACCATGATGAAAAGACGAGGGGGGGAGAGGGAGGACGAGGAGAGAGAGGAGGAGGAGGAGGAGGACGAGGTGGAGGAGGAGGATGACGATGACGATGAGGACGAGGAAGAGGAGGAGGAGAAGGAGGAGGAAGAGGAGGAGGAGGAGGAGGAGGTGGAGGAGAGCGCCATCGACAAGGAAGGTGTGGGCCACGAGGTCCGCCGGCTCGACGACGCCCGCGTCGCCCGCGCCCGCCCCCTCACTCTTATCCGCAATTGCGGGGTGCTACGTATTGTGTATGTTTTGGTTAATGTATGCATGTATGCACGTCTGTCTGTATGCACGTATGCATGAATGAATGTATGTATGTACGCGTGTATGTATGTGAGTTGCCTGGATGGGTTGGATGGGTGTGTGTGTGTGTGTGTTTATGTTTGAGAGAGCGTGATCCACCGCCGCTTCACTGTGGAAAATTGCCCCCCTCTTCCTCCGGAACCCGGCCCCCCCCCCCCTCCGAAAATCCCCCCCCCCCTGCTGGACACCCCCCCCCCCTCCTTTCCCCCGGCAAAGCCCCCCCTTTCCTAACCCCTCCCCCCCCCCCCCCCTCCCCCTCGAAAACCGGGGGGGGTCACTACCGGTTCGAACCCCCCCCCCCCTCGAAAACCGGAGGGGGGGTCACTACCGGTTCGAACCCCTCCCCACCCCCCCCACTCACCGCCAGCAAACGACTCCCGGTCCCTACCACCGTCCGCACCACATCCCCCACTGTTGTTCCCAGCACCACTGTCCTCACCACCACTGTCCCCACTGGTTCCACCACCTACTGTCCCACTGTCGCACCCCCACTGTCCCCACCACTGTTCCCACCACGGTTCCACTCTCCCCACTTTCTCCACGGCCCCAACCACTGCCCGACTATCCCCACTGTCCCCACTGTCCCACTGACTCCTCCGCTGTCCCACTGAGCTGTCCCACTGTTCCCACCACTGTCCCCACTGTCCCCACCACTGTCCCCACTGTACCTCTGTCCCATTGTCCCACCGCCGTCCTCGCCACCGCCTTCACCACTGTCCCCACCACCACTGTACCCTCCACTGTCCCACTGTTTCCACCTCATTCCCACTGTCCCCACACCACTGTCCCCACCACCACCGTCCCCACCACTGTCCACTGTCCCCACTGTTCCCACCATTGTCCTCACCACTGTCCCCACCACTACCGTCCCCACCACTGTCCCACTGTCCCCACCACTGTCCCGCTGTCCCCTCACCACTGTCCCCACCACCACCGTCCCCGCCACTGTCCGCACCCTCCCTCGGTTTTCGAGGAAGGGGGGGGGGGGTTCGAACCGGTAGTGACCCCCCCCGGTTTTCGAGGGGGGGTGTTCGAACCGGTAGTGACCCTCCCCCCTTTTCATGGGGGGGGGAGGGGTTCGAACCGGTAGTGACCCTCCCCGAGTTTCCGGAGGGGGGGGGGGAGGGGTTCGAACCGGTAGTGACCCCCCCCGGTTTTCCGCCAGCAGAGGCAGAACATGTTCTTTCTTATGTTTGTATGCATGTATGTATCGATGCATATGTGCATGTAGGTCGGCAGGCATATAGATGTACGTGTGTGCACATGTCTGCACCTATACGTTTGGAAACTCTTGTAATGTGAACATATCTAAACAGACATGTATGTATCCACAGATGTGCATCTATATACTTACAAGGGAGGTCCCAACCCCTGGACACCAGGGGAGACCCGCTTATACAGCGCGACCCCCACCCTCCCTTTAGACTCCCTGGGCAGCCCTCGGAGTTTCGAGATGGCCCCACGGTCCAGCCGACATAGCCTCAAGCTGCCCAGGACGCCTCTAGGAGGCGCCTCGAGGGTTCCAACAAGAGGTTCCGAGACAGCCCGAAACGGTCTCAAGACGTCCAAAACGCCGCCAGGACGCCCCAAGAGGCCCCCTCTGAGGGCGCGGGAACCAGCCCCTGGGCCCTTGGGCCACCTCTTTTTCAAAATGTCCCCAGCCCCCCCGCACCAGACTTGAATCCCTGGTGCCGGTGGGCCCTCTTCAGCGCTCCGAGCGGTTTCAAAGGCCTGGCGGCCCCAGAGGACGCAAAGGAGCCGCCACGACGGACCAACGTGACCATAGAGTCTCCTAGATGGCCGCAAGCTGGCCAGAAGAGACCCCAAGGACCGCGCGAACGGGCCCAACAAGGCCCTCGAAAGGACCTCGAGAGGCAAACTGTGCTGATTGTTCACAGGATTGGCTCCCAGAGAGTTCCAGGAGGGCCATCGGGAAACCGTGAGTTCTTGAAGATCTCGTTGCTTCGTTTCTGATTGGCTTCTTAGGCTTCTGGATTGTCGTCGAATGGCCCAAGCCTGCCCCGAGAGGAGCCCCGCAAGCCCACGAGACGGCCACCCATGACGGCCCGAGAGACCTCTCAGAGTGCCTTCCAGACGGCTTCTGAAAGCGTCAGGCGGGTCGAGAGTGCCCCAGAGGAGCCCGAGGGAGCCCCAAGACGGTCCACCGGGCCCCCAGCACCCTGCAAGATGCTCCCCAGACGGCCGACTGTGCCTTCAAGGCGGCCCTCGAGGACCCATGGGAACCCTAGAGCAGGAAGGACGCAGGAGATAGAAGAGAAAAGCGAGAATAGAGGGACAGCCGGTTGAAGGGAGGAGTCAGAGGGAGGAGGAATTAGAGGGGGGAAGAAACGGAATACGTATTGTGGAGGGCGAGAACTGGGAGGAGTACGACAAATATGTCAAACGGTTCCAAGCACTTGCAAGACAGACGTGGCGATACGCACCCACTGTGTCGAGACGTTGACTTGTGTTGCGCTAGAACCGAAGCGTTCTAGTTGCTTGTCGGGGTGTTGATGATGAAGATTGTGTTTCTGCTCTCCACGAAGGGGGGTCACCAATCGCAGAGGAGGAGGGTCGAGGAGGAGGAGGGCCGATCGAGGAGGAGGAGGGACGATCGAGGAGAGGAGGAGGGGCCCCCCTGGAAATCGAGGGTCGAAGGGGAGGAAGATGGACGATCGAACCTCGAGGAGGTCTAGAACGTTTCTGGGCGCCTCTGGTGACTCGAGGAGGTGGCGAGCCCCCCAAGTGGTGACCGACCGCTCCAGCACTGCCGGGAAGGCCGCTTCCGTCCCAGGCCTCGACAGGCCGCCACGGGGGCCACCGGAGACCCGCGCCGCACTTGCCGCACGAGCTCCGCCTGCACCTGGACCGCCTCTCGACCGCGCGCGCGCTGGACCACCTCGGTTTGTTCGCCGGGCCCGCCGCGGGCGAGCAGAGCGCGCCGCTGCCCAAGCTGCCGGACAACCTGCGCGAGGATTCGAGGAGGGCGAAAGGCAGCAGTAAGCAGGGAAGCGTCAGGCTCGAGTGCTCCTGTCGGCGATGCTGACGACGCACGTTGACGGGCCCGTCCTGGATTTTGACGGTCCTGCTTCCGTGGGTGGGATGTTTGCAGCGGGAGCTCGCGTCAAATTTCAGGCTGGGTCTCACCTTCTTCCTGACGGCCTCGTCGGGTCACAACCTGAGTCTCCCGAAGCCGAGCCTCACGTCTCCTCGAAATAGGCATCAACGTTCGAAGCTCCGCGTGGCATTCTTGGGCCGGCGCTGCGTCTCCCCGGCGGCGCCTCCGGCGCCGCACCTGGTGCGCTCCGCGCGCCAGGGGGAGAGAGGTCCGGCGTCGATGCAAGAGTGCCGCGTGGAGTTCCGAGCGTGCGCCAGGGGAGGGGGGTCCAGCGTCGATCCGAGAGCTTCGCGTGGAGCTCCGAACGTGCATATATATCTTGGGCACCTTTTGCACCTGTAAGGACATCGTCTCGGCGTTCGACACCTTCTGCGAGCGTGCGGCCGACGGGTCGAAGCAGCTGGCCGCTGGCGACATCGGCCGCGCGCTTATGCTCGCCGGCATCTTCGGCACCGCACTGGACTTGGAGGAGGCCCGTCCGCTGACGCGGACAGAGTTTGTGGCGTTGGGCCACTTGGCCTTGGTGTCGCCGCTGACGGAGACGCAGCGCAGCAAGGTCGCGCTGCTCTTCCAGGAGTACGACAAGGATGGCTCTAGCACCCTCAATCGCGCCGAGCTGCCCGCCCTCTTCGAGGACAGTTTCGCGATCACCCACTCCGATGAGGTCGACAGCGCCGCGCACGAGGTGGACCACGAGAGCTACCGCGCCAACACGGCCTGCCAGGAGGGTGAGATCGACGAGGCCGGGTTCCTATGGATCGTTGCACGCCTCGTGCGGAAGCACGAGCGCGATTACTTGCTGCTTCGCGCCATCCGCGAGCTGGCTGGCAGCAGTAGCGGCACAGAGGAGATGCAGCTGACCGTGGATATGATGAGGCAGAACTCGCACCTGCAAGGGCTGTCAGACGAACAGTGGCAGGAGTTGTTCTGGGCCGTCGGACTCGATACCGGGCGAGGCGCCGCGAGGGGTAACGAGGTGAAGTTCGAAGCGATTCTTGCCGCGTTGATTGCGCAGGTGCAGCTGGAGGAGGGCTTGGACCGACCTGCGCGTAATGGGCAGCCAGAGCAGAGAGCACTTCTGCCGCCTTTAGAAGCGGACAGAGTTGGCAGGCAAAGAACAGCGAGCAGCAGGAGGAGGAGTATCAGAACGCTAGAAGAGCCACAGTCGGAGCACTTTGATGTTGCGAAGAGGCTGGTGTTGGACTTGCGAATCTGCGAGAAGCACAGTCGACTGGTGAGCAGCTACCACCCTGCTCTGTGCGAAAACCAGATGCCGCCAGAGCACATCCAGACTCCTAAGTCGGCCCCGATCAGCATCCCGAAGGAGACTTCCCAGTCCGACATCTTGGAGCAGTTCGAGCATCATCATGGCGGTGGCCGGACCACCTACGCGAGCCAGCTCAACCACATTCCCAGTGCGAATCTCGGGATGCGTCAGAGAATCCTCATCTTGCTGGAGGAGCCAAATAGCTCCAGGCATGCGCAGATCCTCTCTACGGTCCTGGCCGTCACGATCTGCCTGTCCATGCTTGGGCTTTTCATGGAGAGCTTGCTCGGCGAAGGAGGCGGGCTGGGTTCTGTAACGTCGCCGTGGTTTTGGGTGGAGTTGTTGTTCACAGCTATATTCAGCCTGGAGTTGTTGGTTCGTTTCTGGGCCTGTGGAGCGCTGGGTGCCTCCGCAATGGCAGAGTTCTTCCTGAAGCCGAGCAACGCCCTCGACTTGCTGAGCGTGCTTCCCATGTAGCCGGCTGCCTCCGGCAGCTCCGCCACCGTGCCAGCGCAGCATTCTGGCTGGCCACGTCTCGAGGATGCAATGGGGGCCTGCTGGGGGCATCTCGGGGCAGAGAGAGAGAGAGAGACCCGACCAGACAGACCCTGGCATTCTTCCGCGCAGTGACGTGCACCAGGCACGGTGGCGGACTTGGAAGCGCTATTCCGGAACCTCTACATCGCAGAATTCCATCTCTTTCGCATAGCTCGCCTCGTGCGCATCTCCCGAACTCGGTGGGTCAACAAGCTCTCGCGGCGATTCACTCTGCTGGGCCCCGTTGGCACAGTGCTCGTTGTCATCTGGGGCATTTACTTGAAGGAGACCTCGGGCGGCAAGAAGGGCGACTGCTGATCCTACCCACGTCCCACCACCACCATAAGTTAAGTTGGAGGAAGGAGGAGGAGGAGGAGGAGGAGGAGGAGGGAGGAGGACGGAGGAGGAGGAGGAGGAGGAGGAGGAGGAGGAGGAGGAGGAGGAGGAGGAGGAGGGGGAGCAGGAAGAGGAGGAGGAGGAGGAGGAGGAGGAGGAGGAGGAGGAGGAGGAGGAGGAGGAGGAGGAGGGGGGTCGCTCGTCCGCAGGCTCGTGCGCGGCCCTCGTGCACGGGAATCCGCGCTGCGCTTCCTCCGCCTTCTCTTTCTCCCTGCGCTAAGAGACGCAGGCGAGATCAAGGCAGCGGTTCCCGTCCTCGGGCAGCGCACCTCGCGCGGCCCTCGTGCATGGGAATTCGCGCTGCGCTTCCTCCGCCTTCTTCTGTGCGCTAAGATCGGGGTATCGTAAGACTCGGGTGCGCAGAATTCGGGTTTGCCGACCCTTTTGGACGGGCGCGTCCTAGGTCTTGACGGTCCAGTTTTCGTGGGGTGTCTGCCGCGGGACCTCGCGTCAGATTTCAGATTTGTTTTCGTTTCTTTCATGGCAACCTCGTCAGGCCAACCCGAGTCCCCCGAACCCGAGTTTTACGTCTCCCCGATAAGACGCAGGCGAGATCAAGGTGTGTAGGTGTACAGGGTGCCCATCCTCGAGCAGCGCACCTCGCGCAGCATTGCGTCATGACACGCCTCCTGATCACCCCGTTTTCCACCCTAGGGCACCGTTTCTTGCCCTCTCGTCCTCCCTTGTTCGCCCTCTGCCTCCCTCCGTCGATTAATCTCCAATTCGTTATTGGGCATCTGGTGCGGGTATGCGGTGGCTCCGATGAACGTAGTGCGGGCCACTGATCGGCCCGCGAATAGGTTGGCTGCGCCCTCCATGGAGCACCCCGATTATATATCCAGAGCTGGCCAGGCGCCCACTATGCTGTCTTCTGGGAAGTTGACTCTGGAGGCACTGGTGTCGCCAAACAGTGTGGCGGGCCGCGCCGAGATGAGGAGCTGCAGTGACTGGAGCTCCACATCGCTCGTCTGTTGTCTTCGCCTCGATTCTCCTTACGACCTCGTCCCCTCGCCCCTCCTTTTCCGCGATGCCGCGACGTCGTACGTTCAAGAGCCTGCGGCGCGTGCGCGGACATGGTCCTGTTAGGGCCGATCGTGTGAGTTTTCGGCGGGCCCCGCTTTGGGGCGCCTGCTTCGGCATGCCACCACGGGTGATGAGAGACGGGCAAGCGAAAACATCGGAGCGCCCCGCTCTCTCATGGGCTCTCGTCGTCTGGCTGCGCTCTGCCCCTCCCGTGCTCGCTCCCCCCGCCGTGTGGAGCAGCAGCCGGCTGCTCGCCGGAGCGCCGGCTGCGCTCGCGCCCCCGCCCGTGGCCTCGGCCCCCCTCGCCTCTCCCGGGCTGCTGGCGCGGGGGCGCGCCGGGGCTCGGCGGGGCCCCGGCGCCCCCGATCGACTGCTGGAGGGACGCTCCGTGGACAGAGGCTGTCTGAAGGTGTCCTCGCCGATCCGCGTGGGCCTCGTGAGGTTTGCTCGCGGAGGCCGTTGGGCCTCCCGGGAAGTCCTGAGGACGCCTGGGCCAAGGACACCTTGGGCAACACCTGGACGACGACGACCACGACGACGACGACGACGACGACGACGACGACGACGACGACGACGACGACGAGATCGACGGTGGGGTGGGTGGGCGGTGATGGCGTCGGCGGCGGCGACGACGTCGAGGATGCCATCCAGGCCAAACGACGAAGGAGGAGAGGGGTCTCGCGATCGCCCCGTGGCTGCCCCGTCGACAGACAGCGAGCCCTGCACTCCCCGAGCAGTGCCTGCACCTAGGGAGTTCTCACGTGCGTTCTGCCGAGCTGGGCCGCTGGGCCGCTCCGGCGGCCATGTGGCGGCCCCGCCGCCGCCCCGTGGCCGCCCGACGCCTGGGCCAGTGGGCTCCTGGCGGCCATCAGGCCGCCGTCGCCGCCCCGTCGCCGCCTCGCCGCCGCCCGTCGTCTGGGCCGGTGTGGCGGCCTGGCGGCCATGTTGTCGCCGTCGCCGCCCCGCTGCCGCCTCGCTGCCGCCCGCATAGGCTGCACACCACGTGTACACAAGCCGAAGGCGCCCACGGCGAATCACCACCGCCCCCTGCCTGTGGAATCGCCCATGTGGCCGAACGTTGTGGCCAGAGCTCTGCCAAGCCATGGAACCATGCGTTCCCCCAGCCGTTGTGGAAACCCTTCGGGGAACACTTGGGGGAGGATGGCGGGGAAGTTCAGGAGGAGGAGAAGGAGGGGGCATCTTGGGAGCCTCTTGGGGCACTCTTGGGGCCTCTTAGGAGCTTCCTCAGGGCCTCTTGGAGGCTTCTTGGGGCCATCCTAGGGCTTCTTGGGGGCCTTTGGGGCTTCTGGCTCCTTGGGGGCATCATTGGCCGTCTGAGGGCTGTCCTGGTCCGGCGGAGGCCGTCTTGGGGGTATATATGAACCGATTGGGGGCCCTCTTGGGGTGCTGCAGGGCCGTCTTGAAGGCCATCTCGGACGTCTTGGAGGCGTCATGGGCTGTTTTGGGGCCCTCTTGGGGCCGTCTTGGGGGCCTTTAGCGCCGTAATGGGGGCCATTTGGGAGGCCTTTCGGGTGATCTTGGGGCGATCTTGGGTACCTCTTGGATTGTCTTGGGCCGTCGGAAATTCGGAAAACAATTACTCCGACGGAAGAACCCCACATAAGAATCCTCTGGGCGAATCTGGAAAAAGCCATCACCGTCGTCCTCGTGGTTGGTGAGGCGTCCTGGCTGTCTCTTCTGCGTATATTTCCTCTCGCCTTGGCGCGGGCCCCCCTTCCACTCCTTACGTTGTCCCCATCCTCGCCCCCCTGTTTGTTCCGCGCCCCGCCACCTCCTCCCCTTCCTGTTGCATGAGCGCGCATGTCGATGTTCCTCGGCGCCGTCGCCGCCACGGCCAGCACAGGCGCGTTCTCTACAGGTCACGTCGCGCAGCCGTTGGGACAACCCCGCGGGCCAGGCTGTCGGGACAACCCCGCGAGCCGTTGGCGCGCAAGACCAAGCCGTTGGGACAACCCCGCGGGCTTCGAGCGAGGCGCAGCCGCGCTCAGGCGGAAGGCAGCACGAAGCCCAGCTCTGCCGCGAGCTGCTTCGCCTCCGCCCTGGACAAAACCGTTCTCTTGTCGAACTCCAGGAGCGCCTTCCGCAGGGACGCCGGCGGCCCGCACTCCAGGAACTCTCGCGGCGGCGGCCGCAGGATCAGCATGTTCCGCATGCACGTGGCGCGGGAGAACATGACGTAGAGGTGCAGCCACCACTGCTCGTCCGACATGCCCGTGCGGCCAGCGTCCTCGTCTCTCGCGCAGTCGATGGTGACGCCCTTGCGCAGCGTCTGGCCCTGCGACAGCGTGGAGGTCAGGTAGGACGCGTGCGTCAGGGTGAACCCCGAGCGGCGCACGCTGTGCGCCCCCGAGCTCTGCCATGTGAACTCCCTTTCGCTGGGCCTGAACATCAGCAAGCTCCGCGCCCGCGCCTCGGCCTGGCCGTCGTCGTCGGCGCCTTCGGCGCCCTGTCGCAGCACCTCGGCGACCTGAGGAGCCCAAAAACTTCCTTGTTGCATCCAAAGTGTGGCCTGGGAACTGCGTTCTGGCAGCGCGAGAACCCAACATTGACGACAGTTACAGGTTTTGGATGACCTGCTCGGATTACCAACATGATCTGCGGGCCCCATAGGGAGGGGGCTCCCGCCTGAGACTTCCTCGCAGTTCACTCACAGACGAGGCTCCCGCCTGAGACTTCCTCCATATTCAGGCTTGAGGAGCCCAAAAGTGACGACAGTTACAGGGTTCCGATGACCCGCTCGGATTACCAACATGATCTGCGGGCCCCATAGGGAGGGGGCTCCCGCCTGAGACTTCTTCACAATTCACTCAAAGACGAGGCTCCCGCCAGAGACTTCCTCCAAATTCAGGCTTGACGAGCCCAAAAGTGACGACAGTTACAGGGTTCCGATGACCCGCTCGGATTACCAACATGATCTGCGGGCCCCATAGGGAGGGGGCTCCCGCCTGAGACTTCCTCGCAGTTCACTCACAGACGAGGCTCCCGCCTGAGACTTCCTCCATATTCAGGCTTGAGGAGCCCAAAAGTGACGACAGTTACAGGGTTCCGATGACCCGCTCGGATTACCAACATGATCTGCGGGCCCCATAGGGAGGGGGCTCCCGCCTGAGACTTCTTCACAATTCACTCAAAGACGAGGCTCCCGCCAGAGACTTCCTCCAAATTCAGGCTTGACGAGCCCAAAAGTGACGACAGTTACAGGGTTCCGATGACCCGCTCGGATTACCAACATGATCTGCGGGCCCCATAGGGAGGGGGCTCCCGCTTGAGCCTTCCTCAGAATTCACTCACAGACGAGGCTCCCGCCTGAGACTTCCTCCATATTCAGGCTTGAGGAGCCCAAAAGTGACGACAGTTACAGGGTTCCGATGACCCGCTCGGATTACCAACATAATCTGCGGGCCCCATAGGGAGGGAGCTCCCGCCTGAGACTTCCTCCCAATTCACTCACAGACGAGGCTCCCGCCTGAGACTTCCTCCATTTTCAGGCCTGGGGAGCCCAAAAGTGACGACAGTTACAGGGTTCCGATGACCCGCTCGGATTACCAACATGATCTGCGGGCCCCATAGGGAGGGGGCTCCCGCCTGAGACTTCCTTACACTTTACTCAACGATGATGAGGATGAGGATGATGAGTGGTGGTGAAGATGAGTGGTGAAGAGGATGATGATTGATTGTGGGTGGTGGTGGCGATGATGCTGTTTGAATGAGGATGATGCCGATACCGATGATGACGATGATGTTCGTGAGCGTGTGAGAGAGTGCGAGTGATGATGATGATGTGTGTGTGAATGAGTGCGAGGAGAAAAGGGGGTGAGTGAGATCTCTCTCCTGCGCGGGGGTGTGCAGAGAAAACAAGAACCCCACTTTGGATGTGGGGAACAAAGTCTAAAGTCGTTCAAAAACCTACGGGAACTTGATTGTTGTTTGCCTCTTCTGGCTTTCCTAGATGACGCCTGTGATGCCTCCTGGGGACTTCTTGTACTTTGAGGGTCTGTCCCTAGGAAGGGGCATCTGTTTGCCCGATACCGCTGCCGTCTTGGTTCAAGGCAGCGCCGCCCTATCTGCTAGTATGGTCGGCGGTGCCTGCAGTTGATGTGCGGTGTTGGCAGGACAAAACTGATTTGTTCTCCTCCATCACCACCGCCCCATGTGACATTCCTGTGCAACTTGCTTGGTCATTAACAGTCACGTCTTGGAACCACCCGCTCAGACCTAGTAGCGGAGCTGCTGCAGCCGCTGCAGTCGCGGTAGCTCTGCTCACCACAGCCTTCACATGCACCGTGTACAAGGGCCACTGCCGCGGGACGACTACAACATGAGCAACATGGTCAACTACGAGTTCGACCGCTGCGCGGGCCCTGGCTACCACTGCGCCTTCTCTCTCAACTACCCAGGCCATCGACGTGCGCGGAGGCTCGAGCGACGAGTTCGAGGCCATCCTGTCCATTAACATTCTGTCGGGCGCGCGAGGGCCCGCGACCGCAACAGCGACACCCACGTCATCGGCCACTACGTTTTCGACTCCGTCCCAATTTACCGTCGCCCGAGGAGACGCGAACGACTCTCGGGTCACCGCCACATCTACCTCTACGTCCCTTCCCTGACTACGAGCTCACTCACTTCCATTCGTGGAGACGCGAATGACTCGCAACTCTCCTCAACCTCCACTACCACTTCGCCGATTCCGACCTCATCTATCTTCGCGCGCGGAGACGCAAACGACTCGTTCATCCCCGACCTACAGGCTCGCTGGCTCGCGGGCCTTTCTTTGTCGCCAGCCGAGCGTGGCAACGCGACAGGTAGCACGTCCACCTCCAGAACTACATCAAATATTTCCACGTACCTTAACAGGATTCATTATCTGGGCATGGTGGCGCATAGATTTCTGGCATTGGTCATTGGCGTCGCCATCGGCCACCTGCGCCGAGAACGCGAGGGATGCCGAACTAGGGGGCCTCACATGGGATAAAGCAGGCTCGGTATCTTATCGCGTGGGTCAGGGGGTCCATGCGTGGTTCAACGCCTATGCTGGACGCGCG